CCCCAAAACCCCAAAACCCCAAAACCCCAAAACCCCTGATATGAAAAGAAAAATTGTCATTAATTAATTATAGAAGATATGATAGGTATTAAAATCTAATTGGCATTTTAGTCACATCATTCTGGAGATCTGCTGTCTCCTTCCTTAGTTGCATCAATTTAACATATGAATTTCTGCATTGTGGTGGGAGGTTCTTAAGTAGCCCTCTTAATTTCTTTCCTTCCCTTCTCTGCATCTTCCTTTCCCAAGTGATTTCAATTATGCGAGCAAGGACCTTGCCAGCTTTAGTATGGAATGGTGAAAGTATAACTGATTCATCTTCTTCCTCTATAATTTCATCCAATCTATTTCCTTTAATTTCTTCTTTTCTTTTCTTCTTATCTTCTTTTATTGTTTTAATTGTATCAGCATATTCGTCTGTATTTATCCCACTGCTTTCTTTGAACTTAGATAGATCTACACCTTCATTTAGTGAGAAGATATCACTGTCTTCACTTAGAATGAATTCTGGTTTCTGAACTTCCTGTATTTCACAAATTTCATCAGGTTGGGCTTTCTTTTGTTTGACTTCTTCGATCTTCTTTTCTTCCTCTTGCTTCTGTTGAAGTAAAACTTCTTCATCCTTTTGCTTGAGTAGTTGCTTCTCTTCTTCCTCATGTTGATGTTTAGCCTTAACCTTGGCGATCCATTGTCTATAAATTTGTTGAATTTTTCTTATTCCTCGCTTAACTCTTCTAAACTTTGCAATTGAGTTGCCAAAATGCTCACGCTCATTTTTAACCATTAAGGACTTTTTTGCTAGATAATTCCAGTTTTGGGAACAAAAGAACTCAGCGATAATCTGGGCCCTAGTCCTTCCACCTTGCTTGGTGCCCACACGAGTCCTATTAGTTGATTTTGTCTGGGTAGTAGTGATTCGTTCAGAATTAGCTTGCTCAAATTTCATCCCAACCCCTCTTTTAAGCTGATTCATCCCAGTTCGGTTTAATTTAACGTCTGATTTTTGTAAAAATAAGGCTTTATCTTCATAGCTTTTTCCTGAATTAAATTTTAGGTTATTAGGAAGCTTCTTCAAAAGATTAAGCTTTTTCTTAGGCTTAGTGAGCAGTTGAAGAGGATCTCTTTTCTTTATACCGTTCTTATTAAACAAAGTTTCTAGCTTTTGCTTAGCAGCATCATGATTAATAGTCGGAAGCTCGCCCTCTCCGGTTGATGGATAAATAATTCTTTTCGGACGCACAAGAGATGAAGAACCATGAGCCTTGCTAGCAAATAACATTTTAGACGAACTATTATTCTTAAAAAGCTGTAGTTGTATATGGATGCTCGATATTTTTAGAATTTTCTTTAGGCTTCTGCATCAGAGAGTTGCCTCTCTGGTCTCTCCTTCTCATGGTTTTAGTCACGGTGTCTGGAATTCCGTCTGGAGCCTTTGATGCAGCAGCTGGCTCTCGGAACGACTTGGGCATTTTCCTGGTTGATGCGAAAGACATTTTATTCAAATTATAAGAAAATTTATCAATAATCTCTGAAGAATGAGGGGTTTTGGGGTTTTGGGGTTTTGGGGTTTTGGGG